GCCGCAGCTGTCTGGTCGCGGCCCGTTTTTGCCTCGTTCGGACCTTGGTGGGACCGGCTTATATCTTTAACACGGTCCGGCCTGGCCGCAGCAGCAGCGCTCGACGTAGGTGGGTGATGGACACTCGTATGAACCGAATGCTTTACCGGGGGTTTTACGCTTGTACTTGTCGTGTTTGTGGTAGTGGTAGTTGTGGTAGTGGTGGTTGTGGTAGTAGTGGTAATTGTGGTGGTACTTGTGGTAGTGGTCGAGGGTTTCGCGTGATGAAGAGGGCGATAGGGGGGAGCGGTGGTTGCGAGGAAGGCTAGAACATACGGTACACAAAGTACAATGATGAATAAAGCCCATCGTCCTCATTAAGGGAAATTAGTAGAGAGCGTAAGACAGTATTCGCTGATGCATCACCATGCTTAAAATGTAACATCCGCGTGTAGAGCGAAGCACCTCGAACACGCTATCTCGGATTAGATTGGATGGAATATTTGGAGAACGCGTTGCTGTAAAAACGTTCCACGTCTTTCGGACTTTGCAACGATGTATTTCGTTAAATTCGATCCTTTTACGATGCAAAGTTTCTCAGCGATCCACTTGAATGTTTAATCCGCGTTCCGTAGTCCACGTGGCTCGTATATTAAAAGTTCGTTCCGATTAAACATTTTAAGCAAGGCTGCACCGTTTCGTTGAGATTCATTCTTATTGGAGAGGTTGTCGAGGGCTGAAGGGTCTCCCGGTGTTATCGAGCCCGCTCAGAATTACGTCCACACTCGAATATCGAGGTCTCCTCGTATTTCCGTTTCCAAGTAGTCACGGTATACGCAAAAGACGTGTCGCGTCACGGTAGACGACTAAGTTGCGACCGCGGAATTTCATTGCGATACGCACACGTACGTAAAGTATATAGTCGGTCTCAACGTTATTTTTTCGAAAATTATTTCGAATCAAAGAATATTCGAGCATAGATGAATCTTGAACAGTTGGAACAGCAAAAGAGAGAGAGAAAGAGATAGAGAGATAAAGAGAGAGAGAGAGAGAGAGAGAGAAAGATAAAAAACGGATAAGCTTCGGTTGATATTGCGGCGGTATTCGCGATTAGAGAATCATTTAAACGGGATAATATATAATATTCAACCGCGTGTCGAACCACACAGAACTTCCCAATTATTGCCAGCAATAATAATTCGAAAATCGACTTTAATCCTAACGTTTCTCAACGAATTTCTTATCGAGTATCTATCGTCGTTGGGACCAACGCGATTTCATACACGGTTCAACCCTTTAACAGTTTAATCGAAAGAAAAGAAAAAAGACACGATAGACTAACCAAACTAGATAAACAGACACTGCACTGTATCGTAATAGTAATTTCTATGTTTAACGTTCTCTTCTATCCTATGTGAGCATCTAAACTGTTCAAGGGTTAAAGGCAGGAGGGTTACAGGGTATAACGGTGATCGGGTGGTAACTGGTGCAGGATGAAGGGTTGTAGAGATATCTAAAATACGTGAAAGACGGGCTAGCGGGCAGCAGGTACATGGTACAGAGAACGTACATTTCCGATGGACCTGCGGGGACCTCCTGTAGAACGGAGTAGGCCCTGGGCCCGAGGGTGGTGGCGGTAATGGCGGCACGCTGATCGACGAA